AGAGAGAGAGAGAGAGACAGAGCATGAGTGGGCAGGGGCACAGAAAGACAGAGAATCTGAAGAAGGCTCCAGGTTCTGAGCTGCCAGCACAGAGCCCGATGGCTCAAACCAATAAAATACGAGATCATGACCTGAGCCAAAGTCGGATGCTTAACCAACTGAGCCACCCAGAGGTGCCCCTGAACACATAATTTTTTAAAGGAGTAAAGCAAATATTTACCTACAGTAATCAAACGAACAGGACTTCACCAAATGCCATAAATTTTAATAACTAATGGGCATGCAAGGCTCTCAAGTCATCCACATTACGAATTATTCAATCCCAGTTTAAATGATTAATCCTGGTTGTTAAGTAATCCTAAAAGTATTCCTCCACTTACTCCCAAGAGGAGGATGAAACCTCCAACAGGGTGAAAGAGAACTGGTCCAGGATATTTAACACCATTTCAGAAAAGCACAGTATAAATCTTCTAAGACTACATGTTGCATAGTTGATGTAGATCTCCTCCATCTCGCGCTGTCGGCTCAGGCCATGGCAAAGTGCAAAGACCCACAATTTCCAGCCCTCAGACTGTGGTAGAGAGAGGAAAACACACTGGAACAAAGTGCTTTCGGATATTTATAGAGGAAAAATAACCCTGGCTCAAAACAAACAGAAGGTAGAAAATCTAGACAGAATGTGAGCATATGGGAAACAGTATTACAAAACTATTTTACAAAGATACCTGCTTTTTAACAGTTCAAAAGAGAGGGGTAAAAAGCATAACCATGTGGGATACATAAAGCGTCCAACTTAGAAAAACCCTAGGGAAAAAAAGGAAAAAGAAAAACCATAGTAACAAAGGAATTGCCTACAAGTGTGTTCTACCACAAAACAACATTTTAAGAACATGAATTAAATAAAACAGGAGCTCAAATATGCTGTGATAAAAAAGAAAAAAGCAGAATGAGCTGGAAAAAAAATGACAAAAACACAACATAATTTCAAAACAAATGATTAAAGTAAAAATAGCAGGGAACAGAGTAAGAAACAGCTAAAACCTGAATTATAACACAAAGCAAAGATTGGATGTAACCACAGTAAATGCAGTTTTTGAAAAAGAAACTAAGAGATTAAAGTAAGTAGAAAAGAGGTAAGTAGTGGGGACTGGATGTAATGACAAATGGTGTTCTTGAAGTAGTAAACCCATCAAATTAAAAGTATTGAAGAGAATGTCCCTGAGACCAAAGTGAATTAAAGAACACGCTGTGTTTCAGAAAACTTCCACATGGACCGCTCAACCTTAAGACCTATTTTTACCTACTGGCTGAAGTTCCAAAGTAAAGAAAGGATTCTTCAAGCATTCAGACCAACAAGATCAAATTATCTGCAGAGGACTTACTGACCTCAGAATTTAATGGCAAAAGACAGGAGCAATGACTAGCGTGTAACCCAAGAATATCTTAACAAAATAAGTTGTCACTCAAGGAGACAGACTTTTCAAAACATGAAAAGGAGAGGAAACCCAGCACCCATGAGCCTTTCTCAAAAAACTGCTTAATAGGCTGGCAGTTAAGACAAGAATTAAAATAAGAAAAAAAGGAACAGAGAAGCCATATAAAAGGCTCTAGGTGGACACCAAATCCACTTACATAGAGGCCAGTACAAACTATTGGACAGTCACTTATGAGAATGTCGAGGTCACAAACATGTCAGTATAAAAATAATGTAAAAGAGGGAGGGGATTAGATGGGAGTCTTGTGAGAATATTACCTTCATCTTTTATAGAAAAGGTCAATCAGTGCTCAAAAAAAAACCATTACTTTCAAAATTGCTCTGGATTTTATTTTATTTTTTTAAAAAGAAATTCATGCATGGTGGGGAGGTGGAGAGAGGGAAGAGAAAGTGGTGGGGGGAAAGGCAGAGAGGGAGAGAGAATCCCAAGCAACTGCTACACCCAGACTGACTTGGGGCTCCATCTCATGAACTGTACATCACGACCTGAGCTGAAATCAAGAGCCTGATGCCCTGCTTCTGAATTTTAAAGAGCTTATAAAAGCTAATATTTCTCATACAAAAGACAACTTTACTGGAGATTTAGCAATTCTTTCACTTGCTTTGATTCTGTTTTGTGTTAAATCCAAGTTTTTTTCTTTCTACCCAAGTAAAAGTAAATTGACTATCATGATTTGTTTGATAGCAAAGGAATCTTAGCATGTGATGATGTCAGACCCATGTTGTTGGGACAGTATAGTGAATATTAAATACTATTGATTTCCCCCTTTAAAAATACACATTTATTTCAGGGCATCTGGATGGCTCAGTCGGCGAGGCATCCGACTTCAGCTCAGGTCATGATCTCACAGTTCGTGAGTTCAAACCCCACATCGGGCTCTGTACTGGCAGCTCAGAGCCTGGAGCCTGCTTCAGATTCTGTGTCTCCCTCTCTGTCTACCACTCCCCTGCTCATGCTCTGTCTCTCTCAAAAATATATAAACATTAAAATACAATTTTTAATGGACATTTATTTCATTATGTTCATATCTACTCAGCCAGCGGCTTCAAATTATGCCTTACGTGGATATATATATTTGTCAAAATTCATCAAACTGTGTACTTAAAATGGGTATCTTTTATTATAAGTAAATGTGCTTCAATAAAGTTGACTGATTATGAAGATTTTTTAAATTATGCCCCATTAGAGTCTGCTTAGAGCAGCAGGGAAGAAACGAAGGTGAAGGTGAGTGGGCAGGGCTTTCCCCTCCCCCAGCCCCTACCTGGACAGTTGGGCTTTTTTTTTTTTTTTTTTTTTTTTAAAACACAGACCTCAACATGGAGTTCCAGAGCTTTCAGGAAGAGAAAAAGAAAGAACACTACTGTTTTAAAAGTAGATGTCACCTGACCTGAGTATAAGTTGTGTACAGCTATAGGCGGCAGGGAGGAGAAAATAAGCTAACAAAACAATCCCAGTGAAATAAAGGTAAACTAATATTTGAAACAAAAAACTTTCTGGAGGAGACACAGGTCTGCTTCGAGAGTGGCTTCAACCCTGTCCTTCCCAGACAGATGGAGATGGTCTCCAAATGGCGTGTAGTGCTTCTGGATGTGCGAATGGGCCTCGCAGGGGCTTGGACAGGCCCCTGAGTCGGCCCCCACCGTGTCCCCGGCCCTGCTCAGGTTACCTGCAGGCCGAGCCAGGCAGCGGCTGGCTGGGGTCCTGGCGGCACAAAACCTTCCCAGTTTTCCTCACAATTTTCCCCTCTTCCTTGCAATGTTTTGGCAGCTGTGGAGCCTCTCTTGCTCCTCCCTTTCAACTCGCCTAATGCTTCGAGCCACAGGGGAGACCCAGACCCTGCAGAACATCCCGGAATGCGAAGCATTTGCAATGAGTCACAGCTGCGGAGGTGCCAGCAAGGGCTGTTCCAGACTTGGAGAGGGAGCGGAGAGGGGTCAGTCGAAGCAGCTGCAGGGCCCGTGTCAAAGGCTGCACCCCGGACAGAGGAGCGGGGGCACTGGCTGGAATGAGGAAGGACAGCAGTGAGAGAGAGAGTGCGTGAGGGCGGCTCCCCTCAAGCTTCCCCACCTGCTTTACAGTTCTCTAAGTCCTAAACGTCTTCACAGAAAAAAACAACCTTCTGGAATACAGAGAACCGCAAGTTGGTCTTTGGAAAATGATCCCTGGCAGTCCACTAACCAACAATCATGAAGGGCTGAGCTCACTGGGCTTTGCAACACACTATTTTAAGATGCACTGTAAAAATGCAGTGGGCGCTCTCTTTACTCCAACACAGGGGGCATTCACTGGCTCTCACTGCTGGAAAGTATTACTCCCTTGTAAGTCCTGGACAGAGCATTTGAGTGTCAAAACTTTGCCCTTTGGAAGCTTTTTTATTAATAACTGTGAATAGGGGCACCTGAGTGGCTCTGTCGATTAAGCCTCTGACTTTGGCTCAGGTCATGATCTCGTGGTTTATGTATTCGAGCCCCACATCAGGCTCTGTGCTGATGGCTCAGAGCCTGGAGCCTGCTTCGGATCCTGTGTCTCCCTCTCTTTCTGCCCCTCCCCCCCCCCCACACTCATGCGCACCCGCTCTCTCTCTCTCAAAAATAAACATTTAAAAATTAAAAAAAATAACTGTGAATAGGGGATACATTCTTAATATTCATCCAAAATATATTTTTAAAGCTATAAATAAGTACGGGTCCCTCTCACTTTTGTCCACCCCAGCACCTACTTCTCCATTGTGGAAGCAATCACTGTTACTTGTTTCTTGTGTATTTTTCCAGAAGTGTTCTTTGCATGTACAAACATGTCTGGTGTACGTAAATTTTTGTGCAAATAGCATACGTTACACAACGTTTCATACTTTGTTTTTCACAGCTCTGGAAAGGTTTCGTATCAGTACAAATAGAGCTCTCTTGTTTATTTGTTCATTTTAGCTGGATATTTAACAGCACCCTGTTAATACACATTTTAACTGGATATTTAACAGCACCCTGTTAATACACATTTTAACTGGATATTTAACAGTACCCTGTTAATACACATGTCATTTGTTTTCATTCTTTCCCTATTACAAACTGCTTCAGGTGGATATCTTTGAGTCTATATATAGGTCAAATTTCTAGAGATGGGATTGCTATGTTATATTTTGACATTTTGTTATTTTTTGTGTTTATTTAATATTTTATTTTTAAGTGATTTCTACACCCAACATGGGGGTGAATTTACAACCCCAAGATTAAGAGTCGAATGCTGTACTGTCAGCCAGCCCGGCTCCCCATATTTTGACATTTTGACATTTTGTCAAATTGCCCTTCATAGAGATTACACCAATTTATATTCATGCATGAGTGTGTCTGTTTCCCTTATTCCTCAGCACAGGGTTATCCAACTTTTTAAACCAATTGATAGGTTAAAATATGGTCTCTCGTAATTCTAATTTGGTTTCTTTCTCTCTTTCTTTCTAGTTTTATTCATTTAATCTCTACACCCAATGTGGCACTTGAACTCATGACCCTGAGATCAAGAGTCACATGCTCTACCACCTTAGCCAACAAGGTGCCCCCTAACTTGGTTTCTTATTGGTGAGGTTTCTTATTGCTGAGGTTTCTTATTGCTGAGACTGAGCATCTTTCCCCAGGGTGTGTGAGAGGCAATGGTATTTTCTGTTCTGTGAGTTGTGTTCTCTGCCCATTCTCAATTATACTGTTGGTTCTGGTTTATTGAACTCCATGTATTAAGGAAAATAGCGCTTTGTCAATGTATATATGGAAAATGTTTTCCCAGTTTGATTTTCTTCTCCCCATACGTACAATGTTTATTTCATACAGAACTCTTCTTCTTAGAAAGAACTTAGAAAGAGGTCTTAGAAAGTTTAGCATTTGATAGTATTTCCCCTGAAATTATGATAAATCTCCCCCATATTTCCCCATATTTTCTACATAAGATGCATTAGTTTGCATTTAGTCTTTATATCTGTGACCCAGCAGAATTTATTGTACTGGTAGGATCTAGGCGCCACCTTTCTCCAGATGACTATCCAGTTGTTCCCACACTATCTTATCTGAAAAATCCAATCCTCACCTCATTAAGCTGAAATGCTGCCTTTATCAGAAACTTAAGGTTTCCAATATATTTGTATAGCAACGTATTGCTACCTAACAAATCAACCTAAATTTAGTGACAAAAATAATACACCTTTATTACCTTGCAGTTTCCATGGGTCAGGAATCCAAGCACAGGTTAGCTGGGTCCTCTGCTTTAGGGCCTTTCTCAAAGCTCAATCAAAGTGTCAGCCGGGGCTGGGGTCTCATCTGAGGCTTGACTGGAGAAGGATATGCTGCCAAGCTCGCGTGGCTGTTGCAGGATTCAGTGTGTTGTAGGTTGTCAGATTGAGGGCCTGGCTTCCTAGTGACTGTCTGCTGGAAGCCACTCTAAATACTTGCCTCTCCATATGACAGCTCACTTCATCAAAGCCAGCAAGGGACAGAGTCAATAGAGAGAGTCTGGTGGCAAGAGGCTTACCTTCTTATCCAGTCTTATGTAATGTACAGAAGTGACATTCCACCATCTATGCCACATTCTGTTGGTTAGGATTAAGTCACAGGTCCCACTTAAAGTCAAGGGGAGGGAATTATGCAAGGGAGTGAATACTAGGATGTGGATATTCATTGGGGACCGTCCTAAAGTTTGTCCATCCAGTGATTCATGTCCCTCCCACAAGCAAAACGCACCCACCTGCTCTCAAGTTCTGCAAAAGTCTCACCCCCTTAGAGCATCACTCTGAAGTCTGGAATCTCATCATCTAGACCAAGCCAGATGTGGCTGAGGCTCTTGGGGTGCAGTTCATTAAGTCCAGCTCCTGGACCACAATCCCTGCCCATCTGTGGACCTGTAGGATAAATGCGACCTGTCACTTGCTCACGCACCTAACATGCAGTGGGGGGACAGGCAAAGGATAGCAGCTAGAAACACTCCCATTCAAAAAGGAAGAGCATGGGAGGTACAAAAAAGTCCCCGTCCATAGCAATTCACAGGTTTGGATGTGTTCAAAACGTCTATACCCTACTTATACTGGTATATAGAGAGAGGTATGTTGTGCTTACTGAGTTCCAAGGACTTTTCTAAGTGCTTTATCTATATCAACTTATTTAGTCCTCACAACAGCCCTAGGAAGGTCGATACTACTATTATCCTAATTTTACAGAAGAGCAAAATGAAGTACAGAGAGGTTCAACAAGTTTCCAAGGTCAAACAGCTAACAAGTGGCAGAGCCAGACAGGAGGGGAGTATTCCTGGAAAAGCAATTTGTAGGAGGTTTGGGTGAAGGAGGAACTGAACTGGTGTTCTCAGCTGGCAAAAATTCTTCCCAGTTCCTTGTAACACAAAGGCTGTGTGTGTGTGTGTGTGTGTGTGTGTGTGTGTAAGAGAGAGAGAGAGAGAGAGAGAGAACGAGAGTTTAGCCCTTTCTACTCCACAGTCAGCAGTGGTCAACAACCATGGGTCTATTCACAATTCATAGGTATTTTTTCCCTACCCTACGTACTTCACTGACAGACTGGTTCCTACGAATATGCAGGAGTGTATGTTTCTTCATTTAACCCCACCTCTCCTGCTCCTTCTCAGTGCCGGCTGGAAACTCCCATGGCCAGCCTAAGCATCCTGTTCCCGTCGTTTCTAACAAGGGAGTGTTGAATTCTCCCTCATGGCATGCATGTGGGGGATTTGCCTGAGACCCACACTGCAGGCATCCCTCCTGGTGTCTCCGCCAGCCCTCATTGATCTGCACTGCATCTGGCAGACCTTCCCCTTTATTGTAGATCAGGCCTTGAAGTTGTCACTTCAGGTTGCCCACTCCATATCCATTCCCCTTGCCCTCCTTCCTAACAGAATCCCAACTTTCTTAAGATATCCAATACCGTTAAATGCAGCCCGAGAGAGTCAAGGGAATGTGGCTCCATCTCCTCTAGTTCTGCTCTATGAGTGTACTCTGATGAACCTAAACCGGTTTCAGTAATTCCTTCTCCCCTTTTGACTGAGTAACCAAGGTTTGGTTCGGTAACCAAGGTTTGAGCCAAACAGCACAAGGCCATCCCTTTGGTGACAGCTACTGACCCAAAGGTGGGCATATGAACTGAGTTGGTCTGTCAGGATTTTACTTGCTCTCTCATCTAGTGGATATAAACAAAGAATCATGTAGGCAAAATTGCTATGGGCAGCCATATTAGAAACATAAGGGGAACCAGGCTTTGGATGAATCGTATGGACAACAGTAATGAGAGGCAGAAAAAATCTGGGTGGTTGGTGCTATCGTTGAATGTGTCATATCTTTGGAGCTCCTATTATATGAATTAGCACATTTCCTTGGTATTTTTTAAATGTTTATTTATTTTTGAGAGACGGTGGGGAGCGGGGAGCAGAGAGAGAGGGAGACAGAATCTGAAGCAGGCTCCAGGATCTAAGTTGTTAGCACAGAGCCCGACACAGGGCTTGAACTCACAAACCATGAAATCATGACCTGAGCTGTAGTCAGACGCTCAGCCAACTGGGCCACCCAGGTTCCTCAACACATTTCCTTATTTTTAAAGCCAGTCTGAGTCAGACTTACTGTTGCTTTTAATCAAAAGCTTCCAAATTAGTAAAGAATGAGAGATGGTGCCTAGTTTGGTCAATTTTATATTTTTTTTTTTTTTTTTGTTTTTTTTTTTTTTTTTTTTGGTAACTTCTACATTGGGTCAATTACAATCACTTATTTTTGAGGATATTCAAAACTGACTAGTATTGCTAATTACTTTCATGAGCTCTAATAGTTAAAATAGGTATTTAAACTATCTAAAAGTACAATTAGCTTCAAAACACAGAACAATAACATTGTCCAGGGAAAGCTCTGCCTCGTATTAATTGTCATGTTCAAGGAAGCAGGTGACATCCCACACCACATTTGCACATGCCTCCTTAGACTTAGCACCTCCTGCTATATTTGTGTCTGTCAGTCATCTACCACTGGGGGCTGTGGGATGCTTGAGGCAGGGGTTGGGTTCTCCTTGTCCAACAACTTAATGTATGTACCCCTGTAACTTGAGTGGATGCCAGACATAAAACTCCAATATTCATTTCCAAATCTCAAAGTAATTCCAAAGGCACTTAGATGCCCAAGTATAAAAGACAAAATCAGGGGTGCCTGGGTGGCTCAGTCAGTTAAACGTCCAACTTTGGCTCAGGTCATGATCTTGCGGTTCATGGGTTTGAGCCCCACATTGGGCTCTGGGCTGGCAGCTTGGAACAGAGCTTGGAGCCTGTTCCGGATTCTGTGTCTCCCTCTCTCTCTCTGCCCCTCCCCCGCTCATGCTCTGTCTCTATCTCAAAAACAAACTATAAAAAAAAAAATTTTTTTAAGCCAAATCAGAATGGCACCCTGAATAAATAAATGGGGGCCTTAATGAAGTAAAGACTTCTCTAAATTTTCAAAACCCATTGTCATAATGGAGAGCAGGAAGAAATGTTACATCAGGCTTTTTTTTCACCCCTCAATTATTCATTGTGTTATATGTGCTTAATATGTTGTGTGTTGATTCTAAAACTCTGGGTGGTCCTTACTATTTTCTCTACTGAAAAGTAGAGCGCTTTTGCACTTGAGATCCTGCATGGAGAATTGATTTAAGTAAGTCCAAAGGAGGATTGGATAGAAGCTGGGCTTGGAACTAAGCATTTCTCCAAACCTGGGTAGCTGGGAAGGGGCAGGGTTTACGGGTTTTCTGGAAGTGACAAAGATGGAGTCCCATTTGCACAGTGTGTCAGATGGGGTGAGTAAGGGATGCCTGAGTCTCTGAGGGTGAACTTCCCCATTAGCAGGGTGGACCACTCTGGAGAGCTACTGGGTTGGTCCAGATGACACTGTCTGCACAAGCAACCCTGGAAGCCCAGCTCTCCATGGCTGCAGCAGGGACAGAAAGGGAAACCTCAACAATGTCCAGGATTTTGCTTTATCTCTTGGTTTGTGCTTTTTGCATTTTAATATGTCCTTCCCCCACACATAGGTCACAATGATTTCTACATTTTCTACTAACTTCATGATCATTTTGAAAATAGATCCTTAACCCTTTTGGAGCTAACATTTGTCTGTACAGTAGGTATGGATTCGGTTTTATTTTATTTTTCTCATCTAGTAAACAGTCTGTCCTTTCCCACATTTGTATGTGGGGACCAAGTGTTAATCTAAGCACAGCTCTGTCTCTAAGCCATCTGTTACTCTGTTCCAAGTATTCGTTTTGTCTGTTCTTGAATCAGTATCATAATGTCTGAATGACTGTGCCTAAGTAGTATGTCTTAAATATCACCACTATGTCTTTCTTTTTCAAAGTAGACTTAGCTAAATCATGGACTTGTTTTTCCAAATAAATTTCAGAATAACTTTTCAGTATTTCTCAAAAACAAATAAAACGAAATCTGCCATTTTGATAAGATTGAATTTATAGATTAATTTGAAGATAATCTTCATTTTCATGATATTAAGCTATTCTGTTCATAAGTGTGGAATACCCCTCCACTTATTCAGATCTTTTATGTCCTTTTAAAAAAAAAAGATTTTATTTTTAAGTCCTCTATATACCCAACCTGGGGCTCGAACTCACAACCCTGAGATCAAGAGTCACATGCTCCATTGACTGAGCCACCCAGGTGCCTCCTTTTATGTCCCTTAATAGAGTTTAAAATTTTTTCCTTCTAGAGCTCAAGTGTATTCTTTAATTCCTAGAGTCTCTTGCAGCTTTTGTTGCTCATGTGAAAGATATCTTATTTTTCTATTACATATTTGCCAGTTGCTCATTGCTAGTATAAAGAAATGCTATTGATTTTTATCTCATCAATTATTTATACGTCACTGGGAACAGGTTGCATAGATTTTTTTTTTTTTTTTTTTTACAAATAGTTTATTGTCAAGTTGGTTTCCATATAACACCTAGTGCTCATCCCCACAAGTGCAGGTTGCATAGATTCTTCCCTGGGAGGAGATTTTCATAGGTAGGAAGTGGAAAAGGAAAAGGAACATGAAGGAAGGTGTAAAGACAAGAGACTCCCTAAGTAAGAAGCCCAAAGTCCAGAGAAGAGAGCTGCCAGGTACTTTGGAAACCAATTTTATTACTTCATCTTTTCCCCTGAAGCTTCACGGAATTCTAATTCTGGCATAGAGGCCAGACTCTTCAGAAATGTGCCATCTTTTCCTCTGTGACTGGCTCCAACTTCAGGGCCTGCTACAGCCCTGTCAGCCCTCAGCACCGTCACCACAACCTCACCAATGCAGACAGTCTTCTGGTTCAGCAGCCTCCCCACCGGCCTTCCCCATTCTAACTCCCCAAACATCTGTAGCATCACGTCCATCCGTTTATCATGCCACTCCTACTCCGCAACTGGGATCCTCGCCTCCTTCAGACCAGAAGCCAGAGTCATTACTGCTGCTCACCAGGCTGTCCACAATAGCCCAGCTCCCATTTGCTCTCTGACCTCATTACCTACCGTGCCCACTCCTGCCCACTTTGTCTTAACATCTGAGGCCCCTTCCTATTCCTCCAACTTGGCAAGCAAGCTACAGCCTTGGGGCCTAAATAATTACACTGTTGCTTCATAAAATACACTAAGCAGCTTAAAATAACAAAGCTTTGTTATTTCTCACAGCTTTAAGGGTCAGAAAGCTGGGAGTGGCTTAGCTGGCTAGTTCTGATTCAAGGTTTTGGATGAGACTGGAGGTAAGCTTCTGGCTATGGCTGCAGTCTCATCTGAAAGCTCAACTAGGGGAGGATCCCCTTCTAAGCTCATTCACAAGGTTGTTGGCAGGCCACAGATCCTCATGGATTTTCAAAGTAAGGGCCTCACTTTCTTCCAGGATGTTGCTGAGACACTGCCTTCAGTTCCTTGCCACACAGGCCTCTCTGTAGAGCACAGAGCAGCCCTCCTGGCCGTTGGCTTTCCCTAGGGAGAATGATATTGGAGAAAATGAACAATCCAGAATGGAAGCTGCAGTCTCTTTGATACCTAACTGCAAGGGACACCTGGGTGACTCTGTCTGTTGAGCGTCTGAATTTGGCTCAGGTCATGATCTCAAGGTTCGTGGTTTTGAGCCCCATGTCAGGCTCTGTGCTGACAGCTGAGAACCTGGGGCCTGCTTCAGATTCTGTGTCTCCTTCTCTCTCTGCCCTCCCCCATTCACACTCTGTCTCTCTCTCTCTCTCAAAAATAAACATTAAAAAATTTTTTTAATTTAAAAATTTTAAAGTTAAAAAAAATTAAACCTAGCTGAAAAAGTAACATACCATCAGTTCTATAATATTCTATTTATTTCAAATTCAGCCCACACCCAAGGGCAGGAGAATTAAGTTCCAAACCTTGAAGGGCATCATGCCTTCAGGGACATATTTTTTATAACAACCACAAGACCTTTGTTCTCTCTTCCAGGGATCACTGTATGGCTGGCTCCTTCTCTCATTCAGGCCTCTGCTCATCAAAGAGGCTTCTTGTGATATTTCTGTCTAAATGGCATCATTTTCTCTCCCTGTCCTTTGTGGGATTTTTTTTTTTCCTTTATCATCTGAAAGATTTTATCATTTGTCTTCCCACTAGAATATTAGCTTAAAAAAGGTAGAAACTTTGTTTTACTTACTATTAAATAAGGGACCTAGAATTATGACTGGCGTATATAGTAAGCACTCAATAAATACTTATAGGGAAAGAGAAGAAAGAAGGGGGATGAGAATGAGAATCCCAGAATAGGGGTCACATCTTTAGTGTCTTCCAGATGGAGATCTGGTTCATGTCTAGAGAATATACTATCTGGCCCAGCCCTGTGTATATCTGCCAGACGGCAGGCTGGGGAGGAACCTGTGACTTTTCTACACATGGAGATTTGTAGTGGATTGGACTGTGTCCCCAAAAAGGATATGTCCTAACCTCTAGTACCTATGAATGTGACCTTATTTGAAAATGAAATCCATACAGATGCAATTAAGTTCTCTACAGATGGTATTAAAGAGGATCATCTCCATGACTTACATATAAATTAATGACTCAGATAATTTTTCATGGTCCTACATGCCGAAATAAAGCCCTTAAAAATCATGTTGCTAATGCATATGTAATTTTTTGAAAACAACTTTCCTGTATATGCTTAGAATTCTGTCTAAACTCAGGATATACAGGAAACAGTATCACCAGATGCCTCTGACGAAGGCCACTAAGGGTGGGAGAGCAAAGTACCAGGGAGGTATTTTGAAGTATATGCCCCTTTTGTGCTACTTGAAGTGAGTGTTGTTTTTTGTTTTCTTGGGTTTTTATTTTTTATTTGAGAGAGAGAGAGCATGTGTGAGACCGGAGGAGAGGAGTAGCAGGAGAGAGAGAGAGAGAGAGAGAGAGAGAGAGAGAATCTTAAGCAGGTTCCATTTCTAGTGTGGAGCCTGATGCAGGAAGGGCTCCATCCCACGACCCTGGGATCATGACCTGAGCCAAAAATCAAGAGTCAGACTCAACTAACTGAGCTATCGAGGCAGCCCTGTCCTATTTGAAGTGTTATCTTGTATCGCTGTTTTCTCAAACATACACAAACACGCAATTAAGAAAAAATAGCATGGAATTCCTATTGCTTTTATAAACTGTGATATAGTTTCCACAGAGTTAGAAGTATCTTTTGGCCAACAATTACTTAATCAAAATCAAATATCTATGAAATAATTAATTTGTTTATATAAAGAACAGTGATGGAAGCAGAGCAGCATGATGGTTACTACTGGGTGGAGGAAGAGGAATCAGGCAATTATTGGCCAAAGGATATATAGCTTCAGTTTTGCAAGATGAGTAAATCCTAAAGTATACAGTATAATGCAGACAGTTGACAATCCTATACTGTATATTTTGAAACTTGTTAAGATGTAGATCTTATATTAAATGTTCTTATCACAAAAGAACAAGAAAAAAGAGGGAGGAAGGAAACTTTTAGGGGCCATGGTTAAGTTTATGGTATTGTTTACTATAGTGACATTTTCATGGGTGTATGTTTACCTTCAAATTCATCAAGATGTGGGACACCTGGGTGGCTCAGTCAGTTAAGCGTCCAACTTCAGCCCAGGTCATGATCTTGCAGTTTGTGAGTTCGAGCCCCATGTTGGGCTTTGGGCTGGTGGTGAGGGGCCTGTTTGGGATTCTCCCTCTCTCTCTCTCCCTCTCTCTCTCTCCCTCTCTTTCTCTCTGTCCCTGCCCCACTTACTCTGCCTCTCTCTCTCTTTCAAAATAAATAAACTTAAAATAATTCATCAAGATCTATACATTAGCTATATACAGCTTTTTGTGTATGTCAATCACACTTCAATTAAAAATATTTTAAGGAAAGAACAGTAGTATTACTAATAATGGTTTGGCAAACAGTTGTGAGATTTTGGGGCTTGAAATCTGTTTGCAAATCAGATTTGAATTCCTCTACCTGTTTAATTATTTTTATAACTTTGGATTGTTAGGGTACATTTGCATCTTAATATGGTTGAATAAAGGTGAAGGCATGCTAAAATGATTGCTACAGTTAGATAAAAAAAAAAAACTAAAACTAAAAAAGGTCAACACCCCAGAACACTGGCCTTTTTTGTTTTTTTTCCCCAAATAAAAAGGTGAGATGGGCATATGTATGAATGTTAAGTTTAAGGACAATGATTATTGTATCCATCATAATAAAGTATTTCCAGAGACCCAAAATGAAACTATACTCACTGACACTCATTTATTCTTTCTTTCATTCAAATGTATTGCCTCCAGGTTCCTCGTGGTATGATAAAAGCTGAATATAAAAGCAATCAGGCAGGGAATCTGCTCTCAAGATGGTGACAGACTTGTAACTGGAGATGTATAATTCACTGTGATGGCCACAAAAAGTAGCACAGTAGCCTACAAGGAAGGAGTGAGCAGGTGAACATCAAGGTCCTTCAAGAGGACAGCTTAGATGGTAAAAGTCCTTTGGATGATCAGTTTTGTTGATGGGTCCATGATGGACTCTATTACGATACCGTGACTATAATATCATGCCATCTAAACAGAATCCTTCCTCCCTGGTATGTGATCAACTTCTGTGATTCTTGGCAGTGTATATTCCTGATGTGCAGTGTATATTCCTGATGTGCTCTTAACAACTTTCAAACAGCAGATTGGACTCCTTCACCAACGCTGTAGGAAGATGACACCATCAAAAAAGAGCTATAAGTTGGAAGCAGGGAGTGGTTTCCCTGTAAGGAAAGAAAAACGAAGGAGCTATAAGTTTTGAAATTAAAATTTGACATCCTCGGCTAATTCAGATCTTTAGTGATTTAGTTCATGCTCTGCGCTACACTCTGCAAAATGTCAGTTAAGAGCTGGACGTAAAACTCATACATCTAGTTGGAGTAGTGTGGTTCGAGCCCATTTTTGCTAAAGGACATTATTTTTGTGCCATGACAGAGATGCCGGCTGCTTCTTCCTGTGCTCTCTTCTTCTTGGGCACATGGTGATACCACGTGCCCCAGCCCTCCTTGCCATTGGGGGCAGTCATGTGAAGTCTTGTGTGCCACTGCCTGGCCCGGGCCATTAACCCCTTCCGTGCTTGGTCCTCTTGCCCTTTACCCCCTTGCATCTGACAGCGATGCAGAAGACCACCAGAGCTGCCCCAGAAGCCACCAGTTGAAGACAGTAGAGCCTCCATCAGCTCTAGCGCTCAAATGACTGCAAGAGGAGGCACCCCACTGACTGGTGGGAGTTCCCTGGCACTGTTCCGTGAACAAGAAATAAGCTGTGAGGTATTTGAGCCATTATACATGGCTACAGTAGGTAGCATTGCTTAACTCGTAGCAATATTCTTCTCTTTTACTTTTTTTTTTTATTTTTTTTATTTATTTCTAGGAGAGAGAGAGATAGACAGCATGAACAGGGGAGGGTCAGAGAGAGAGGGAGACACAGACTCAGAAACAGGCTCCAGGCTCTGAGCTGGCAGTCAACACAGAGCCCAAAACAGGGCACGAACCCACGAACCGCGAGATCATGACCCAAGCGAAAGTCGGACGCTCAACCGACTAAGCCACCCATGCGCCCCTCCCTTTTACTTTTTTGGGGGAGGGAGGAGACACACAAGAAAGGATAAGTTGAGGGAAATGTAATTATAATGTTTGTGCTGGGCATCTGTCATTTGCCCCTTTAGACTCATGCTCTATCCTTCTGTATCCTGCGTTTAGCCCTACATTCTGGGCCTCTCAGCCCTCTGAATGTCTGGACGTGAGACGAAGGTCAGGATATTTCCTGTGCTGGCTCCCTCCCTGGGAGGTCCTAACAGGAGTTCACTGCTCCTCTCAATCTGGCCTGTTTACGTGACTGTCTCACTCCTTCTGGATTCAAATAGCAGTTCCCTGCCCTTAGCCCCTTGGCCTTGAATTAGCTTGGCCAGCATCACAAAATACCACAGACTAGGTGCTTAAACACCTCTCATGGTGCCAGAGGCTGGGGAGTTTTAGATCAAGATGCTAAGATTCCTGCTGTGTCCCTAGAGAGAGAGAGGGAATGAGAGAACATTCTTTGGTCCCTTCTCATAAGGGCACTGATCTCATCATGATGACCCCTGCATGAGTTCATCTAAACCTAATTACCTCCCAAAGGCTCCACCTCTTAATCCCATCACATTAGGGGTTAGAGCATCAACACATGACTTTGCCGGGTGGGGGTTGGGGGTGCGGGGGGGGGGAGTGCAAACATTCAGTGTGTAACAGCCTACAAAACCCAGGTTACCACATCATTCTATGCCATGACTCCAGGCCCACACCTTATAAGGTGTAAATCAGCCCTCTGTAAATCAAGCCCTCTAGAATCCTCCCACTTTGAGTGGGCCATCTCTTTCCTATTAGCACTATGACTGAGACAATACTGCTTTTGTCTTCATTCTCAAAACTAATAGTAACAAAGATTGTACATATTCCCAGAAAAGGGTAAGCTGTACATTTTAGGGCAGTCAATAACAATCACAAGCAATAATTCCCATGAAAATTATTACATCTCTCTCTCCAATGGTCCCTTGAGGTTAGTGGCATCTCCAGATTCACCTGTCTGCAAACCAAACCTAATAATACATAAGTACCTTTAACATTAGGGCAGAGTTTGAACCCTGCATTCAAGGCTTTTCATAATCTGGTCTCTGCCTCCTCTCCAGCGTTATCATTGCCTTCTCTCCAATCCTCATCCTACAAACTGGGGGAAACATGACTCTGACCCTACACATCTCAGGCCCTTTGTCTGGATTCCCTCTCATCTTCCTCTTCATTTAACTCCTGGTAGTCTTTCAAAACTCAGTTTACCTCTGTCCTGCTGGGGCATCCTTTCCTGATATCTACATCCACCCCCCACCCCCACCCACCCACGCACATACATACCTTCCCAGCTTGGGTCTGGCACTCCTCTATGCTCACATCATGTTGTGCCTCTTACTATATCACACCACTTTACTTCCTGCCTCCTGACTGCTGGATTGGAATCAACTACTATTAATGTCTGTACCTCCCTAGTAGGTCCTTAATATACATTTGTTGAATACATAAACATCCAATCGTTCTAGGCTTTTGTTAAAAATTTTGTTAAATTCCTGTGGGGGACCTGGGTAAAGCTGGAATGAGGATAGGGGGATGCCCTCTTCGGTTCCCATCCCTCTTCCACAAGAGCTGCAGACTTGGAAAAACAGCACTGTCTCCCTTCCAGAGTCTCTTCTCCATAGAATGAAGATATAATTTCATCACCCCTGCCTTTAACATGTCCAATTCACCACAAATGCCCAATATATAGGACCTGAGTTACTGAAGTTTTGCTGTTAAACATATTTAATCATTTTTTTAAAATTTAATTTTCTGAATAGACACTATGTTGTCATAGGGTCAAAACCAAAATGCATAAAAGTTATACAGTAGGGCCACCTGGGTGGCTCAGTCGGTTGAGCATCCGACTTCAGCTCAGGTCACGATCTCACAGTTTGTGGGTTTGAGCCCCACATGGGGTTCTGTGCTAACAGCTCAGAGCCTAGAGCTTGCTTCTGATTCTGTGTCTCCCCCTCTCTTTCCCCTTACCCCATTGTGCTCTGTCTCTCTCTCACTCTCAAAAATAAACATTAAAACTTTTTAAAGAAAACAAAGTTATACAGTAAAAATGTCTCCCTCCACCCCAACCCATGTCTCCATTAACCCAGTGTTTGTCCTCTGTATGTCACTCTTCTTAACATATGCTTAGTTCCAGAGTTGTGTAATGCCCTACAAGCTAATTGCAAATACACATTCTTATATTTTGCCCTTCTTTACCAAAGCATGACACTTTTTTGAATTTTTTTTTTACTTAACCATGTTTTAGAAACCTTTCCTTACCCCCTCATTCTTTTGTACAGTTGCATAGTATTTTAGCATGTGGACATATCCAGTATCTTTAACCAAACCTTCACTAATAGACATCTGAGTTGCTTCTAATCTTATTTTGCAGATGATGCTTATAATGATGTTCATTTAATCTTGAGATGATGCTGTATGATCCGATGTATAATTCTTTTAACACTTTGACTCTGTACCTCAAAAACCATTTAATCTGTGGGCCAAGTAATATATGTCATTTGCTAAAGGATAAATTAAGGTTAGACCATAGATCAATGACCTGAAAAAGTTATTTAATTTTATGAGTTCACTTCTGGGCATTTATCCATAAGAATGTTGGACGATATGGCAGAGTATGAGTTCATTTTAATAGAACAGGCAGCGTATGTGTAAACTTCGCAGATTTTGCCAAGGTCATTTGGACAAAGCAGCATTGAGGGTTCCTCTTGGGAAAAAGCTCAATCATTTTGGGACTTTTGATGACCAGTAAGACTTTAATATTATTTGGTATGCTAATGCATTGTATTCAGCAGAAGTTTACAAAACAGGGAAGGATCAGCATGGATATCTGCATCCGGAACACCAAAGGCCTCTGGAGAAGGGCATAATACATCAGTGTCGAGCCCTTGTTCATTCCAGAGGCTGAGAGGTCAGACGGGGGTTTTCTGACTGCTCCCCAATACAGAACAGAATTCTGTGTGGGGTGCTGTATGGTAACCCTGTATGTATCTGGTGCCATGAGGCTGGTGTACCATGTGGCCAGAGGGAGATTGCATCCAGCTGCCCCTTCTTATGTGCCTGGTTGTCAGGGTTGCTTAGTGAGAACAGCCCTTGGGCGTGGCACGCGCTACATCTGCTGGAGAGCAATGACAGGTTGGAAAGAGCCAACTGACTACAACTAGAACCTACTCAGAAGGCTTGTAGGAGCTGATTTCCACAAAGGTAAGGGCAGAAGGGGGCACTGTGGGTGGAGTCTTATGAAGCTACTCAGCCTAAATAATGTATGGGTTTAAGGCCAAATCTGTAAGACCAGATGCATCTCCCTTTGGGAAGGATGGACCTCCAGGCCCCCTGAGGTAGAATCAACCAAGAATTCTTCGTGAGGCCACGCCCCCCTCTGCCAGACCTTGTTGGGGGAGGGGGGGTTGGGATCTAAACTCATTTAGAGGAGCAAGTTGCTCTATCTCCTTTATCTCTTTATATGTATAGTTTATACTTTCCAGTTTGAAGACCTTTTTCCAATTTAAGAAAATAAACCAAAAGAAAAGACAGAGATAAAATTAGAGGTCTAAATTAAAGGGAACTATTGCTGAAGAATATAGGTTATGGAGAGTTTTGACAAACCTTGACTTTATTTTGAACTTTAGCCCTTACAAACCATTCTGAGTTTCTGGTAATGGTAGCATATCTATTTTGCAGATTTCTGGAGCTCTCTCCAACGCACTCCACCTCTTCCCATCACACCAGTCGTCAGTTTGGAAACCCTAATGCAGATGAACTACTCTGTTATGTTTCTGATATTTATTAGGTAAAATTTTTAAGTTATATTGCTGTTTCCATGTGTGTTTGTTTATTTTCTGCCACAAGTTTCCAACGAGCATTTACCTGACAGACTGAGTTCCAGTCACTTGGGGATGCACCAGTGAGCAAAATTAGTACGGTCATGTCTCTACACTGGACGATGGAATGGTAGATGCAGATTCCATGTGATCAACAGTTAAACATGGGTCATGTTAATATATTTACTTCCAGTGCTTCTCAGATTCAAATATGGTCCTGAGCGAAAGATGAGCCCTCCTGTTGACTTTTCATTTTTCTTCTTTCTTCTTCAATTTTCTCAGACATTTGCTTGACCTTCCCTCATCACCACACACACACACACACACCCACACCCATACACACACACACACACCCCTACACCTGTCTTCGTGAACCTCCTAATTGAAAACACATGCAATTTGGTGCTTAATTAAAAATTTGTATTATAGGGGCTCCTGGGTGGCCTAGTCAGTTAAGCATCTGACTCTTGATTTGGGCTCAGGTCATGATCTAACAGTCATATGATGGAGCCCCATTAGGCTCTATGTCCAGTGTGGAGAATCTTAAGATTTTTTTCTCTCCCTCTCCACTTGCCCTTCCCCCTGTCTCACGCACACACATACACACACTCTCTCTCTCGCTTGCTCTCTCTTGCTCTCTCTGTCTCTCTCTCAAAAACAATTTTGTGTTATGACAAAATACAAGTATTTGTATGCTTCAGCCAGTTATCTATTGCTGTGTAACAAACAACCCCAAACCTTAGTGGCTTAAAACCACAGCCATTTTATTTACTCATGATTCTGTGGATCAAGAATTTGGGCTGGGCTTAGCTGAGTGGTCCTTGTGTTTCATATGGCATTGCCTGTGTGCTCTTATGTGGCTGCAGTTGGCTGGGAGATTGACCAGGGCTGGAATTTTCAAGATGTCTTCAGGCATCTCTCTGCTGGTCTCTGTCCAGCAATGATAGGACTTCTTACATGGCAGCTGGCTTCCAAAGTGGAGACACAGCCTTGGAAATTATATAGCATCACTTTTATCACATCTTATTGGTCAAAACAGGTCCCAGAAACCAGTGCAGATTAAAGAGGAGAGGAAACGTACTCCACCTCCCCCAATTTCTTGGGGAAGGAGGTGGCAAGGTCACAGTGTAGCAGAACCTGTGGAATGGGAGATACCACTGCAGCGTCTTTGGAAACATGAGCTACCACACTTACAGACCTGTTTTGTGTTAGGTGGCAATTCATCATAAATCCCAGTTCTGGGCAGTAGTAATGAATCTAGCATTAGTTTGTTTTCTTCCTGTACATCTGTCTGCTTCTTATTAATCCACGCTTTAGCTGTAAAGGATGTTTTGAATTATAATCCTGAGTTCCATGTGTATCAGTCAGTATTTTCAGTTCCAAGGCACAAGAAGCAATTCTGGCTCACTTAAGGAGAAAGGAATTTTCATTGGCTTTATCAAGTTGTTTACCAAAGACGGGAAGGTTGGGGAACTAGACACAGAATGGGGACAAAACCTGTAGGAGCCTGGCAGAAAGGCATATCCCCAGTGGTACCACAAGGACGCTCTGCTCAGGGCACTGTCGCTGGTACTGCACACACTAAGCTGCAGTGCTCTCCACACCCCTGGGCCTGAGGCTCGAATTCTTTCCCTTGTGGCCCCAAGTCCTGAACAGGAACAGCCAGTTGTCCAAGTCTACTTGACCCATCTTTGACCAGGAAGTGGGGAGAGGGTGGGTCCCTTCCACTTTAAAGGTTAGAGCTCAGGGTGACCTGCCCCCTACCCAGACTTAGATGATGGAGGGTTCCCCACAAATACAAAGGGCTACCCGGTACTGAACATCCAGTAGTCCTTGCTGAAAGTGGCAGTTGTCCTGATCTGGGCCCTGCTCCCTCTCTGACCTCAACTCCTCTTTGCTCCATGGTGGCCTCAGTATAAAGCACCAACCAAATACGCTTCTGTCTCAGGGCAGTTGTGCATGCAATTTTCACATGGGAAATGCTCATCCCCAAATTCCTGCATGACTCTCTCTCACACCTTATTCAAGTCTGCCAATAGCCATTTTATCTAAAAGCATAACTCTTCACCCCACACTTTCTGTTCTATGGAGCAAGGATTATAGCCTGGTTTGTTCAGTGCTGTAGCTCCAGCATCTAGAACAGTGCCTGGAAAACAGTAAATGTTCAACAAATAGGTCTTCAATAAATGAATACATGACCCCTTTGAAATCCCTTTCAAACACATTTGCTGGGGCGCCTGGGTGGCTCAGTAGGTTGGGTGGCCGACTTTGGCCCAGGTCATGATCTCAAGGGTTCATGGGTTTGAATCTTGTGTCAGGCTCTATGCTGACTGCCAGCTCAGAGCCTGGAGCCTGTTTCAGATTCTGTGTCTCCCTCTCTCTCTGACCCTCCCCTTCTCACACTCTCTCTCTCAGAAATAAATAAAAACATTAAAAATTTTTAAAAAACACATTTGCTATACGGTTGATGATGGTTCCTCTTATAATTTAATCCTCCTACCAATATACCTGCCTGGAATATGTTTTCCTCATTTTAAATTGTTATGCGAGACAAATGAAATTTTTGGATAGGTTAAAAAATTGTTTAATTTATTGTTCCTTTTCCTTCCACCAGGCTTATCCCTCTGCCTAGAAGGAAATTAGGTGAGTCAGGCAGGATCATTTATTATAAAACCATACCTTCTGCTTTATTCTCCTCTCAGCCTTTCTAAATTGATATTTTGCTGATTTACTGTACTACTTTTCAGAGTATTGCTGCTGGCTTAATAATTTTCAAGGTCATCCCTTTCATTCTTCTTTCAGAAAGACATGAAGTTGGCCTTTTTCCAGTTTTCAGGAATGTATTAGTCCTTGGGAGCTGCCACTAGCAAAGCAGCCTGTCAGTGACCTTAACTGATTCATGATGTATCCCAGAAGGCAAAACACCAGGCCTTGTAGATTTGAATGCACTGATAGCATTCAGATAGTCATGAGTGAGTCAAGAGAGTTTACTGGGAATCGACTGAATGCAGAGTTTGTACAGATCTTCCCTTTCTGTGGTCTGATGATCTCGTTTCTCATTAGCCAGTATGACATCCGTGGAGAAATTAATTAAGCTCTTCCATTTGCACAGCTTGGGCAAACAGGAGGCAGAGAGCGAGGATCCAGCAGGCTTTAACAGGTGCTTCATGACACTTCACATTTGTGTCCCTGGCAGGGGGCCAGTTTCTGTGGCCCGTTCCAGAGGATAATGTATTTCCCTGTGTGTATAATAACGGGTAAAGATGATCTATCACTCCCTCCTTCATTCATCCACCCATCCATTCATTCATGGACAACATACTAAGCACCAGGCATTGAAGTTATTAACAGTGAACAAAACAAAGTTCCAGATCTCAGGAAGCTTTGGATAATTGTACCACCTAGTTTTTATAATTCTTGCTTTCATGACCATAAATATATACAGAAGAGAATGTCGATGGCTGACACTTTTACTATTCCCTTAAAAAGCAAAAAGCCTTGGGCCAAAAGTGAACAAAAGGGAGAAAAGGGGGGTTCGGGCCCAGTTCTTTTCCATATTCCTAGCAAGTGGCATCCTGACATACTGAGAAGAGGTGAATGATTCCACCTGCCCACGCACTCCAAGCCTCTGTCACACCGTAACACTGCCTCCTTGTTCTGTGTCTTCCCCTAATGATGTCACCCTACTGTCTTGGGATATATGCCATGGGCAGGTGCTCAAGGGTTACAGGTATTTTAACATTTGGGGTACGGTTACCCCAGAAATTCAATCTTTTACATGTAAAACAGAAAATATGTGTAAACCATTTCTTCTTACCATGCCCATCCTGTTCATTTGGTGTATCCCGTTGGGTCTCCAGTTTTGGAGCTTGTTTCTATCTAATTCTATCTAAATCTATCATTTACCCCTGAGAAGCCCTGCCTACAAGCCTTAGGCATTCACCCCAGATATTTTGACAAGGCTGGCATTCAGTAAATATTGAACACAAAGAATGTGAGAAGCAAGGTATTTTCCAGCACAGGTAGTGAGCAAAAATCAAAGCAACTTCTGAGAATCTGGATAAGAAGGGATAAAAATCAGGATCAATGGTGCACAGCCATTTGTTGTAGATCTTCAATTCAGTGCAACAAACGTTTTCTTTAGACACTTTCTTAAAATGTATTTATTTTGAGTGAAAGAGAGAGCTAGCAGAAGAGGGGCAGAGAAAGAGAGGGAGAGAGAGAATCCCAGGCACTCTCCATATTATCAGTACAGAGCTCAACACAGGATTCAAACTCACGGAACGGTGAGACTGTGACATGAGCCAAAGTGAAGAGTTGGACGCTTAACCAACTAAACCACTCAGGTGCCCCCTCTTTGGACACTTTCTTTCCTTGACTCCACACTCTCCTGCTTTTCTTCCTACCCTCTGGCTTCTTCTCAGTCTGTCTGGTGAGCTCTCCTTCATCAGACCTCTTTGCTGGAGGTCATGGCTCAGTATTGAGCAACCGTCTCTCCTCCATCTAGCCACACTTTCTCCCTAGGTGATTTCATCACACCTTGTCTTTAATTACTATATATAATTTTAATTTAATTACTTCACATATTTATTAATTTAATTACTACATATATAAGAGGGAAGGCAGGAGAGACAGAAAGAGGGAGATAGGGACAGTCTATTTAATTACTATGCATATATTACTTTAATTACTATATAGAGAAAGTGAGAGACAGGGAGAGAAAGAGAGAGGGGGTATATAAATATAGTACAGTGACTCATGATTGCATAGTTTCAGCCCAGATCTCTCCTGTGAACTCCAGATCCATATATTCAATGCCTTCTTAACATCTCTCCTTGGATATATCAAAAGCATTGCAGACACAACATATCAAAACTGAATTCACATTTTCTCTCAAAATTTGGTCTGTCTTTACTCCTGATATCTTTGATTGGTGCCTCCCATTCATTTGCTTGGTTATGCA